AAATTTAATCTCCTAGATAAGCATTTTCAAGTAAAGGATATGTTTTATAAATTTTATATTAAATAAATAGGGTACAGGATTAATTTAAAATAAATTATAAAATAATATTTTAAATAATAAAACAATTTAATGTTTAACTTCTGCAAATGACCAATTTTAATTTTTTAAAATTAAATTAGAAAAAATTTAGTGAAAATTAATTTCCTTTTTAATTAAAAAATAAATAAAAATCTTAATAAAAAGTTTTAGTTTTTTGAACTGAAATGCATGGTTTGATAAAAGCTATGATAAATATTCTACATTGCTATTAAAACAACTCTTATATTAATGAATTTATATAAATTATATTTTTGATTAATCACTTTTACCACCACCATTTTTTGTTGAGTTATTTTTCACATTCAGCTATTGATATAATATAATTCATACTTTTCTAATATTTAGAAAGTTAAAAATTTGGATTTATTAAAATAGCCTTATTGTAGTATACAATGGCTTCTGAATAATTAGATAATTATTGTAAACAGGCTCCTATATAATTGAAAATATAATAAACCCTTAGTGTATAAAGAGAAAACATTATTTGGATCAAAATTCAATGCTTGTTCTAAAAGCTTGAGAGCTTCATGATATTGTCGCAACATTCTTAATGAATCACCTAAATTAGAAAGGTTTAATTACCTTTTGTAAATAATGAATTGACGTGCTTTTAATCTATCATCAAAGCCTTATCAGCCCACATAATTGCATCATTGTAATTACCAAGCATTTTTAAAGAATCAGCTCATAAATTTATTTATGTTTTTTATACCTTTTGAATATAATAAATTGACGTGCTTTGAATTTCTAGTCAAAGCCTTATCAGCCCATATAATTGCATCATTATATTTACCAATCATTCTTAAAGAATCAGCTAATACATTTATGTATGTCTGTATACCTTTTATTTACAAAGATAGAAAATGTTTTGATCATCAAAAATCTTTTATTCCTCTTTACTTTTTTAAGATTTATGTTATATTTGTGTGCTCTTTCTTATAGCTTTCCTAAATTCCACATTTACTCTTAAGAGAAATAATAAAAATGTAAACTTTAAATGTTATATTATTTATATGCCATGATTAATTTAAAGTTTTATGGTGAAGAATTGTCTGATTCAGGTTTTTTGCTAAAGTTTAGTTTTTAGTAGCAGTATAATTTTGGAATGCTTTCCAGAGCAAAGAGCAAGTCTCCATAAGATATTTATTTTTAATATTATTAAAAAGGTAGATAAATTAGCATGGAGGTTAATAAGAGGACTTAACAATAAGATATATTATAAAATTTTGAGTTTTATTTATGAAACCACACTATTACCATATTTTTAGGGAACAAAATGTTGTTTATATAAAAATTGGAACACACTCTCTCACAAAATAGATGTGTTAGATTAAAAAAATTAAAAAAGATGAGGGATTTGGTTTTAAGGATCTGAAGGCTATTGAAAAAGAGATAATTATAGATAAGAGAAGAAATAAACGCATTATAATTAAGCAAAGTATGACAAAGAGACTGAATGAAAAAATTTTGATGTATTACGAGAAACACAAAAAAATACTGAGATAATTAAGAAAAAAAACTATAATATATTAGATATAGAATAAGGAAAATACTTAACTTAACTAATTAAATAAATTAAATATTAATAATAGTTATTGTTTCTTTAATTTTTTTGAACTATCAAAATTAGTTTCAATGATTTTAGAACTATTACTGTGATTAAATTTAACTCTTTTTTTTTAACAAAGATGGCCTTTGATTATAGAGGCGAAATCATTATATGTTTTATTAGCTTGTCAAAAATTCCACCATAATTTCTTTCAACTTGTTATATATCCAGTATTCATGGTAGTAATCTAATCTCTTAATTAATTTTGAGTTTTCTTGAATTAGTTATAATATTCTTACCAAAATAACTCTTCTATTATCATTTTCTATAGTAATTTATCTCTTCTTAAGAAATCTTTTGAAAAGTTTTAATAGTAAATTTATAAATGAATGATGTGGGTTTATTTACTGCAACTTAATCATTCTCTAAGAAATTTCTGACACTTAAGCAAATGAGGCCCTCCAGATTAGAAAATATTTAAACTTTCTTAGATAGTGATTAAGGGATTAAGGGATCAATATACTTTTATTTTTTTTGTTAATTAAATAAATGTAAGATCTTAGAAAATTATTACTACTAAACTAAATTTTGATCAACAAAAAGTAAATTCTAGTTTACTTCATATATTAAGATTATATTGCTTAACTTTTGGAATTAATTAAATATTTGAAAATGAATATTAAATGTTAATATAATTTTATTATTTTTATTTTTGATAGTTGTTTAAAGAGTATTTTTAATCTTATATCAATTTGAATTTTAAGAAATTCATCTAAGAGATTCAAATAATCCTTTAAGATATTTCTTAATAACATTTTGGATGATATTTTGAAGTTGTGAATCTACTTTAATTTATTCTTTTTTAGTGATTAAGCTAGATATAAATTCTCATTTCATGTCATAAATATAAGAAAAATATCGTTATTGTGAATAATAATCTTCATTAGATAGTTTTTTTTATTATTTAACCATTAATACATTTTTTAATTCATCAATAATATATATTTATTTGATTTAATTAGCAATCTCTATTTTTTAACTTGGTAAGTTGCTTCAAAATGCTTCATAACTTATATGATCCCATGAATCCATTTAATTTTAATTAATAATACTTTATTAGTTAACTCATCAAATTAAGCAATTTTAGAATAAATTAATATATTCTTTGTTTCCATTCTATTCTTATTGTGCTTATTTCGTATTATATAAATCAAATTTGTTCACTTTTTTATAGCTCATAAAATCCAGCTCATTGTTATAATGTAAATAGTTATTCTTTTCATAAAGCATAAAATTATTTTTAAATAAATTTGAGAGTTCATCGTACTTATTTATAAATAAATAAAATTTTCTAATATTTAAAAGAATGTGAATTCTAATGAGTAAAATAATAAAAATATTGTATTAAATTATCACACTAGCATTTGCAAAAGTAAAGTGGTAATATTACTTAATAGAATTAAATAAATTTCTTTTATGAAATAAATTTAATTTTATTTGTATCAATATAAAAAACCAAAACCAAAAAAAATATTTGTGATTATTTTAATTGGTATTAAAATATCACCGAATTAATTGATGAAAATTTACATCATAATATTTTAAAGGTTGAGCACATTTAAATTCATTGGTAAATCTTTTTAGTTGCATTTTATTCATTAATTTAAGTCAAAATCTATAAATATTAAGGAAGAAAATAAACTCAGTGATAATGTAATAATTTAAAAACATCAATTTTGATAATTTGAATCATTAATCATACTCATCTAATAATTTAATTATACTACTATATTGTTTACTATCCAAATTATAGTATAAATAGATGATACTCCAATAAGGAAACTAATGAAATATGAAATTATCTTCAATAAATTAGTTTTTATTAAATAATTATTGCAACTAATTCTCTATTTTCATTATTGTTAATATAAATATCAAAATGCTTAATTCTTCTAACATTTTTAAGTATTCATTATATATATAGACATTTATTCTGTTTTCCTTTTAATATTATAATGACTATTGTAGAAAATTATTTTGATAATTTAACACTGTTAAATCCAATACAGCTATAATATATCAATTTATAATTTATTATTCGCAGTATTATTAAACACCAAGAAATTTAATCTTTTTTTATTTTATTAATTCATAGCATTAATAAGAAATAAGTGATTCTTGAGAATTTGTCTTAAGTTTCTTCTATTATAACAATTACAATTTTACTTCAATTTTTCTATTTCCAACAGCTAAAATATTTAATGTACTATCCTTCCTCTAATTCCATACAACCTTTTCATTAAGATATTGTTATTATTTTTGAAATTAATTAAAGTCTCCACTATATCAAAGAAGAGAGGTTTTATTAAATTTCTTGGCAGAAAAAATAATCCTCTTATTTAATTTTATAGGATAATTTTCCTTTCTAAAAATTTAGTTTAATTTTATTTAAAATATCTTACTACAGTGGTTTTACCTAGTGGAGATATAAAAATTTGCTTAATTGTTGATTATGGTGTTAATATTCCTTTTTGGGAGTGATTTGAGACTTAATTTTGTATTGACGAGATGTATAGATTTTTTAATAGATCAA